AGCATTTCTTGGTACATCAACTGGTCTCCTCGCGCCAACTTGGTGCAGTGGTTTCGAAGTAGACAGTGGGTACTATACCATGTGTTGTCACTCGGAAATCGTTTAGAGTCTCTAAATGAGGTATTTCACTGCGAAATTTACTCCTTTTTTCGACTTGGAATCACTGATTTTTTTGAGTAGGTAATGTGTTTGGTCTTGGTTACGCCCTTCACCATTGAATTCACCATTTCTTGCCAGGATACCAAGGGATCATACTGTTCTTTGGGGAAAATTCAGTGAATGTCTTTCGCCAAAATCTCGAGTTTATTATCATCAACAAACATACAAGAGTTAACCGTAGACATTTACAGTGAAGATGCATAGCAAATGTAGGCAAACCAATGTAGCATGATCACTACGCCCTAATGGGGTTGTAGTAAATATCGTTTCCACCATCAATTTCTCGTTAGCTAACACTGAGTCCAAGACCGACGATGACTGGTTGGCTCCAAACCTCGTTGGGTCGTTTAAAAAATTAGGAGGTGGATATGATTCAATAAACTGAACGAATTTCCTCTAAAACGATTGTAGAGATTTCACGGAGATAACCAGATTTGGGCAACTGAAGTCGCCTATAATGAGGACATGCGTGAACTTCAGTGACAGAATGTGTTACATGGTTTGCAACAGTGTCTCAATGACTGAGTTTATGGATGAAGGAGAGCGGTACCCTATATAAATCAAGCTGAAATCGCGTTGCGCATTCAAAGTTTGCACGAGAATGCGTCAAAAGCCGAAGCAGGATGATTTCCACTTCCCCTCTTAAGTCAATCGCGTCTGAACAGCCTCAATTCTAAGTTCAGAATGTTGGTTGTCAGCCAAGGGTCGGTAACCGTAATAATGTCTCATTGACCAATTTGGCAACGCAAATCCATCTCTGAAAATTCGCAGGGGAAGCCTTGGAAATTGGTGTAGAAACAATACAGCTGACTGCGGAGCAGAAAATCATTGGGGTGCAAAGGGTTAGTTGAGCCGACTGTATCGTGGTCAGCTATGGGAAGTTTTTTGGGAGAATTTGTTGGGTCTAATCTACCAGTCTCGGGAAGAAACATAAAGTCTGTAGGAATCCAGCGTGTGCGGGGCGATATTTTCTGCCAGAGGACCACTCTTTGGTCCTGTGTTGTGCATGATTCTGAAGCGCAGTTCTGGCAGTCTGTTGTTCTTTTTATTGTACCACGACTGTAAGATAGCAGTAGCCATTTCTAGTATTTCTAGAGTTATTTTCAGTGATCCCGGGCCGTCTCCGCGGTAGTTAGGAGAAAGGGGGAGACGGCTAACTGCTGCAGTCGAGACGTGACGTCACCCAGTCAAATATTGAATGAACCGCCTTTCTTTACAGTTATTTTTAATCGTTTGGGTTATTTAATTGAGGGAATCAATGTAAAAGAATCACTCAGGCGTTGTCTGTTCCCCGTACACGTTGGTGTATGCATTCGCTCCGTAGTCCGTCTGGTAGAATTCGAGTTTTACTTGAAGTTCTTCGAAGGATAAAGCTGAACAGAATAACGTTTTCTACATCCCATTCGCTCCCCAGTGTCACTCGAAGCAAATCTGGTTCTCTGGCGTGAGGTGAATTCGGCTGTAACCAAAGACGTATGAGACTCACAGGTTGGGCGATAATCCCCATTCGCACACACAACGCATTCCGGCATCTCAGGTTTCCCTCTTACCCCTTTCTCAGTGACAATGCTGTGGGTTCGGAAACAGTTTTACTAATCACAGTCAAAGAAATGTCAGTCACGACTTTTTGCAGGCATAGGTATCTTTGTTGGAAAAACAGAGATGAGACCACAGAGTGTATGCGGGCTCCGAGGTAGCAAGTGCGTCCGCTGTTGCTTTTGTCGTCGCGCTAGGTTCTGCTGTGTGCATCCACTGCCATGGGGTGATCATGTGTGCTGAGCGTTTCCGTCATTTATTAGGTTTCCGGATCGGGATTACTGGAGTGACCTGTGAATTTGAGCCCGTTATTTTTGCTTCAAGTGTAGCGATTTTTAAATTCACTCTTTCTCCGGCAGCTAGCAATGGCTTCTCGTACTTGTGTGTGATACATGTGATGCACTGTGCAATCGGGAAATCCACACATTCTGTACAGAACCATACACATTCTGGTTGAGTGGCTAACTACCTGTTTACCAAGAGTTTGGCTCATGATGTTTTAACGTTTTCCCATAACTCTGTAGGCTACATACTCCCAATGCCGTCAAAACACCTGGTGCGGCAATTGCTGACATTGTGCGACGTCCCATGTTTGCACTTTATCGAACGGCGAGGCTGTCGATGAAAAGGTCACGTGAAACCGAAGCTGGTTGTCTTTGTTTTCGGGGCAGTGGTGATCACAAGTGCACAGATCAATGACAAAGGTCACGTTGGGAGTATCGATCGGATCTACTGGCCGTAGTGGAACAAACACAAGTGCGAATGCGATGGTAACAATGCCAGCACTGAATAGCATAAATATATCCGTAGACTGCTTGTAATTGAACTTGTAAAGCTCAATCAGGACTCGTTGCAGTGTTGAATTTCCTTTCGAACGGTATCACAATATTGACACGACGAATAAACTATTTTGCATGCGTGAATACATCCAAAAGCTTTGATGAAAGCAGAAAAACTGCTAAATGGAATGATATGAGCGATTTATTTCCAAGAGAACGATGCCACAAGCTGGACCTCACAGAGGTGGGTCGGATGAACGTTGACTCGACGATGTACGATGAGATTCGACAGAGAAATTCCGATTAAACTGGGAGCGCACAATTAGCGAGGCCGCGCGTGTGTTGTTCGCGGATGATTACTGAGTTGAAGAAATCCATCGCCTAGTGGTTTTCGACAATCGATGCTTACGTAATCCGGCTCAGGTGGGATTGGGATGAACGGGTTAGTAACATAAACGTAAGTCATTGGGTGTTTGGGAATGCATCGAACAAGAACTCGTTAACGCATCGAATTGAGCTCAATAGGCTCCGTTGGTTAGAACACGTTTTGCGTACGTCCGACAGTCGCCTACCGCAGCTCGCCTTATCCGCAGTGGCCTTTGCAGGCTGGAGAAAGCCATTTGGAGGCTAGCAGATGATGTGGAGACGAGGCATGAGGAAATAGACGGAGCGATTTGGTAGAGTAGGTCTCTCTCGTCTTCCGAGTTGAGGTCCAAAAGAAGATGGTTGGAGACACTGCAGTTCATAGCGGTAGACCGACAGCATTGGCGACCTTGCTGTCACTTCTTATCGGACCAGAATACTTGAAATAGTAGTATGCATGCACAGTTGAATTATGCTCTCTCTGTGTTGATCATAGAGGCTCGTTTTCTTTTTTCCATCCCTAAAAATAGGCCCAATGCCTATACTCCTTACACATTCTCACTTACCTTGTATGCAATATGAGTTTGGCAGCTATCAGTAAAGTTCGCTTCACTGTATTACACTGTACGATGAGGATGAGGAATATACAATAAACAGTGTAATTTTGAATTTGTAATTGAGAAACCTAGTTGTCGTTCTATCGTATATACAAAGGCATTATGCGGTGGAAGTTTGATTATGTACATCATCACTACTATAGTAGTGGTAAAGTATAATCACTGACTGGCTCAGACGGAAGTAGCAGAGCACTGCATACACGCGATTCAACGTCGAATATCAAATGGATTGCATTTTTACACTATATCAATAAAACAGTGATAACAGTTTTTGGAATGCCGTATTCAAATCATCCTTTTTTTCTCGTTCGGGGTTTCCTTCACACGGTCAGCTATCCGTAGCATGCTTGTTGCTAAGACCATTGTCCAAATAACGCTGATCGGGCGGGTTTGTTCAATGTACTCATTGCAGGCTCCTAAGCTCAATGTTGCAGTCCAATCGTGCCAAATCTACTCTCTTTGCTACAAAGACCTACTCCTTGCATCAATCACCCAAATCAACCTATTTGACAGTTTAGTTACTGAATCCATCGGGCAAACGGTGTCTGAACTTGACTAATTGTACTCCAGAAGAGGCGATGATGAAGCCTCACATGATCCCGAAGATTATTTCATTGGTCATTGGCGTTCATGCTCTGGTGCTTACGGGTACTACAATAACACTAGATTACAAAATGAACTGCTGTGAATTGCGGCCCGGACTCAGGGAACTAGTGTGTGCCCTGTAAAAGTAACCCCCGTCCAACATTGACTGAAGCTGTCAATGAGGTGTACTAAGCGGTCCCCCGGACATCTCTCTTCTATTTGCATCGCAGTCAACGCGCAGAGGCGCAAATCCGTGCGCAGAGCCCGGGGAGAGACTATGCGTTCATGTCGGCTCTTGGTTCAAGCTCCGTAAAAATCTACGCTAATGATCTGTATTTTTATCTGTTGGTTGTTTGCAGTAATGAAACTGAGGAGTCGATTTGGTCTGTCTGAGAATCTGACTATTTGATGTGTATACAAGAACTCCTGATGTACCTAAGTATTCCGGGCAGAAAACCAGTGAATGGTGGGTCTATACCACCACGTCTATCTTTATACCCCTCTCTTCATGTTCTCTGGGCGCATTTTAGTTGATGATTATGCTCACCCAGGAGACTGGATATGGTATCTAGTTCATTGTAACACAAAATGATATGACTAATAGCATAATAGTTCTAAAAACATCCCTCACAGAAATCAACAATGAAGGGTTTTATAAGACATATGATTTTCCGGATAACTTATTCACTGTTGAATTCAACTTTTTCATGCATTTCAGCAGCTTAAAGTTATGTTTCTTTTACACCATGTTCTATTCATGCTCCCTAGAGCAGACGTCTTAAAAATTATTTGATTTTATTCTGATCTCTTCCATCATATTTGGTTCGTTCCTAAAAGAACAATAAATGGTTTGAACCGAGCATGCCAGCAGTTATGCGATCAAGTGGATCTACTTTGGATAGCCAAGATCGGGTGCTAGGAGCGAAAAACCCACTGCTGGATAACTTCGTTCCATACCCAGACGGAGAGCATGTGTGCAAACCGATAGAGAATCCGATTAATGAGAGAGATCACAATACTGGACGCAAAAAAGTGGCCGAGGGAGATTTCCACTCAAATATACAACCATCCCAACTGTATACAAAAATTCCATTTAATACTGCTTATTCTCCGGTCAAAGATACCAGTGACAAACCACATTCCAATGAGCATGTCAGTTGGAAGCCACAACCGTCCGGAGGTAATGTGAACCGCCTACCCAGCCCGCCTTTGCTGTCCAATCTAACCACTCTGGATAGGAAGGCAGACCAAACAGGTAAACAAGATCTCAGTCTGGGACGGAAGAACTTGTTGTAAGTCCACTAGTACAATATGATTCATCTTATTTCGGAAATATTTTACTTTCCAAAACACAGAACAAAAGTCTGTGCATCGAAATTTTCAAATCGCCCATTACCAAACCAAAATCAACCTATCATATTCATCACATCAGAGCATGACAGTAGTTTGACATTTTTCAATTAATTTTCCATCATTGTATTAGTTGCAACGAAAAAGTCATTGAAATCAAGCTATGCTGCACTTATCATTATGGTTACTTATCATTACCACGATAGAAATACTCAGTGAATAACTTACAGAGTTATGTTTGTTACATGAGTAGGAAATACCGTACAAGGCACATGGATTAAACTAAATATGCAGCATATATGTGATGGACAGTCTTTTTGATCTCCAGAATTAATTTTTTTCACATAACTCCCATGATGGTTTGCAAGCCAAATTGATTTCCACACCGCCACTTGTTTGTATTTGTATTTTGTATTTTTAATAATTTGTGTGAGTTTATATGCTTACATTTCAGTTAAAAGTGTACACTGGTCGTCACACGGAATAAAATATACAGTTTTCATATAACACACAAAATGAAGAATGTAGCTGAAGTTTGTTTCGTGTACAAAAAATGCTGACCTAATTAACATACGATCTGTTTCTTATTGGTTAGGAGTCGAGCGGATGCCGAAAGGAGGAGCTTGTGGACAGATGGGAATAACAAGATGATAGATCTGGATACAGTGGAGGAAGAGGGTCGTCTAGACTCTTACCAGAAAATTTAATGCAAGAGTTGATGTGATCATTAATAAGTTCAGTGATTAATGAATCGATGGAGATTAATGACGCACGACTGATCATCACCAAACCACAATGAATAGTCTTGAAGTCTAGTTTTAAATGACCGGGAAACCTTACATGGGAACAACAGAGTAGAATGGGAAAAACGCATTGGTGAACGAAAGAATACAGGACTGACTGTGGGGTTCAAGATTGCCTGAGTTGGCGTAACTGAAAAGAAAGGGTCTCAGTTTTCCCATACAATTGTAAATGTGTGCGGACCACCGAAGATTACTGTCAATGGTAACACACAGGTACTCGATTGAGGTCATTCTGGACACAGGTTTGCAGTTAAGAGTAGCAGAGTCCGTTAGAGATAAGGAGCAGTGAGGACTGAGGATACACTCTTGGATGTAGTAAGCCTGAGACCAGGCTGGAGGGAAAACTGTTGGGTGAGATAAATTTTCCGTGGAAAAATTGAATTCCGAAGGAGGTGAAACTTTATGACATAAAACAACGTCTTCAGCATACTTTTGGATGTGTGCAGGAAGTGAAACCGGAAGATCACTAAAAAAGCAGAAAGTTATGGAGATAGAACAGTACCTTGAGGCACACCAGAATTATGAACAGGATGTTTTGATGTCTTCCTCCCCAATTTGGTGAAGTGGAGAACCTCTGTGAAATAGTTTGAGTCAAGTCAAGCCAATTTTTTGCTTCATGCACCGCGAAAAGTGTTTTTCAGCAACCACTGTATAAAATTGTCATGGGAAACTAAAATAAAATAAAAACAAGTTACTAGAAACGATTTCATCGTTACTCACGACGTGAGTAACCTCGATGATCGGATGAATGGAAAAACAAATACGTGATCGTGGTGAACCCGATTTCCGGTCTCACGATGAAATCGTTTCTAGTAATCTGTTTTTATTTTATTTTATTTTCCCATGACAATTTTATTCCCAAGTATATGTGATATATATTGAGATGTATTGGCATGGATACGAATCCCTGAAAACGAGCTTGTTCGCCTCTCTGTTGTTTTGTTTGAAATGTGCTCTGTGGTATTATTTCAACAATATCGCTGTTCTTGCGTTAACCTGTCATCTTCCGGCAGTCTTATACCACATGCTTATTTGAGGCTGTAGGTGCTATGGTTATCCGGTGAACTCTTAGGGAGGATGAAGTTCGCAATGCTCTGAGCCACGCGACATGCTGGTGCATCGCGTATCTGGCCGGCACGCAAAGCATCTACCGGTCGTAAACGCGCTGCCGCACCTGGTCCTAATGCGCACCTCATTCAGAGTTAAACACTGGCAGAAGAATTTTGCCATTCACATACCTGCTGTTAGTTGATTAATCGATAGAGTTGACGGAGTGACACATGGAGAACCAGTGGACGTGGCCCTGAATAACGCAACACAAACCAAGGTTATTCACTGGCCAAGACCACTGACGTGTAGTCACGTGACCAAACGCTATTAGCTTTCCCCACATGTAACCGGCTGGCGCAGAACCCGCACAGGAGCCGTGTTATTGAACGGAACATTTCGGTTCAGTTCAAAGCAAACGGGTTAACGCTATCAAGGGCAGTGTCAGTCGCGTATGGAAGCAGCATGAACGGTCAGTCGTACTGGAACGACCTTTAGGGTGCACTTTGGCCATAACATCATCCAAACTTCTGCTTGATCCAGCGATAGAGACACAGCAACAAAACTCTGCCCAGAAGTATCGGTAAAAAGCAAGAAACCAACTTCACCGAAACAAATCACGAGTAGGTTTATGATTGTCGGATCTCGAATCGGAGTACTGGGCTTCGCGGATTAATGAGAATGCTACATTCCAATCATATCTCACATATGAAACATTAAAAGATCTGAAATTGGACGTTTCTCTATCAAATATGGTTGAAGACTGAACTTTAAATTTCTAGACTGTATTTACCGTCTTTATCAGTCTGCGATTCCAAATGATCTTGTCAATTTGAGTTCGAAATTTCTATCCAGACTTAGTTCTGATAAGTATTTGGGAGTTGAGATAATCTCAGATGGCAGTCTCGCATTCAGCATTTTGTAGGAAAACTTAGATTTTTGTTCTTTCAAACAACCGCTCAGAAGTACGCATTAAAGAACAAAGAGTTCTTTTTCCTCCACTTATATTACCACAAATATGTACCAGTATTTCACATCCACGGTTTGTGTTTCCTCTAATCCACAGACTTTCAAGATCCCAATCAAGACTATGCATTCAATTTCTATTCAATTTCATCCTTTTTCCTTCACACATTTTAACAAAATGCAATCAACCCCTGTTGTTGTTATTTTTATTGTTGTTGTGGTGTTGGTACCATGCCTACCCGCAAGCCGGTGTTTATATATATACATATATATATATATATAACCATAGACAAATAATCAAAATTCAATGATCTTGAGAAGATACCGTGTCATGATTTTGAAGTCTCAAAAAGGGCCTGTTGATGTGATAGAGTGGAAGTCTAATTAAAACGATTGATGGTGAATTCTGATGATGTGATTTCGCATCTTCCTATTCCTGTCATAGAACCTAGTTTATACCTGTGGAATCTAACGGTCAAAAGATTACTTTTTCCCTTTTTTCTGTGTTATCCTGGTCGAAATTGAAATTTGACGAGTTCTCTACACTAATATCTAACACAAACGAAAAATCTATTCTTTTTGTACAGACTGCACCGATTATGCAACGGACACGATACCAATCCCTAGGATCTGTCTCATCCCAGTTAATCGATCCATTCACTGGAACCACGACTGTTATCTGTCTCACCTCTGTCTCACACCAAATCCGAGTTTTTTTTGGGACCACATCTGTGGTTTCTGGCAGAATATTAGCAGCCCTTTTGATCCAGTGGATGAGGCCTAATCCTTATTCCAAATTTTGTGAAACGTGCTGTTCAAACATTCAAATGGTAACGTGTCAGAAATGCTTCTCGCCTGCATTTGGGCAAGTCATTTTGCATCCTCTACTCTAAAAGAAGCTAAGTTTGTCGGCCAATCGAATACCATTTCAATCATGCACTTGATTGATTTAATCTGAAGCACTTTGTTACCAATTCATACCATCCCAATCTTCCCTTTACTCCTTCATTCCAATGGGCAGTCGTGAGGCAACTACCAAAATCGGTGCACGAAAGTGCATGATTGATGGCTTTAAAAACGGAAACTGAATCAAACCGATTCGCGGTTCACTATTACTTTCGAAAAGCTTCTGTTATATCAATCATATCCTTATGTACCAAGGAGTTACCCGAAGCTTTTGAGTTCAGTTTGATCTTGGATACGTGTATTAGGAATACTAGGGAAAAGTGCAAGTTGGTGGATTGCAATATAATTTTATTTCGTGAGACAGTTATAATTGGTTAATACTTCAAGGTAATAAGCTTAACAATGTTCACATTTTAAGTGCAGTTTATGACAGATAAAGCCCAGTGAAAAATCAGCACTAAGATTCCCCTATCGCTATTTTCTCTTGACATTTTCATATAGGAAAATGGAAGATCGCGCTCAGCATTATTCTAGAACGTCATCGTACAGAAATGAAATGTCCAATGTCGGTACAATTTCGGAACTTGTTGGTCGTCTGAAGAGCGCACTTTCCATCGAGAATGACGTTGGTATGAAGGATAAAGGTAATAAAGCGATCGAACAACGTGTTCGCACGGGACAGCTGACGAAGTCAACAACTCGACACAAACGATTTGTACCCAATTCAAGTTTGTTATCAAACTCGACCTCAAGACGTCNCACAATCTGGTCAAAGCGACCGACGCGATTTCTGTTTTCCCAATCAAACACGCAACATCAATGAGAGCTACCGAACCACGTTGTAAATCTGCTCATACTCCAGGCTACGAGTGTGATAAGAAACCATCCCCAAAACTGTGCCGCAAGAAGCCTCGCGAACAGGTGAAAATCCCTAAGCCATCACCCCTTACTCGGCAACTTCGAACAAGTTCGTTTCGGGATGGATCGCAGGCAGTTCCGTCTAAGAGTGCAATGAAGTCTCGAAAACCACGCAGAATAGTATCAACGGGGTTTCCAGCACTCCAGACCAGTCAGCATAACAGTGGATCACAACAAACGGCTTCGTCCACGACATCCTCTTCGGGCTCCCCCGTAGTCGGCAGACCAAGCGAAAAATGTGCGATCCCACCGATCCCGGCCTATTCATCCACTCGTTGCGGTTGGCGTTCTCGATTGTTTGAAGGCGTTTCCAGTGAGGATGCTCACAATTCGAAAGTTATCCAGTCCGATACGACTCGCCCACCATTATATTGTGGTGATCCAATGTGTTCCTCGTCACCTGTTCTACATCGAAGCGCAATAACCACTGATCGCACTCTGTTTTCTGACGATTCATCTGGTTTACTGGTACCGGCAACTCTGTGCACGACAGAATTTTCACAAGAACCCAATGATAATCTGAACATTGTTCCGGCTATGCAGCGAATGGATGCGAAATTACCATCTAAATGGTCTTATTCTTGTGAGATGATTACCGGTTTATCACAGGTAAACAGTCGAACAACCCTTGTATCTGGTAGGTCAGCCAATGCGAGTGATTGCTGTGACGGGAACACGTTCAACCGGAAACCGGATTCATTTGAACACAATGTGAAAGTGGTCGAAGAAGAGGAGAATGGCCCATCCAGACAGAAATTAAATGCTTTCAATACAGACACTAACCAAGTTACAGAAGAAGTCGAAATGGACGAATTTAATCAAAGAGGAAGAAAACCAAGAGATGAACCAAAGGTGGAATACCCTCGATCAAGCAGCTCGACCGAAATACGAGTACGTCAGACTGAGGTGGTGATTGGTCGTTGGTTCGATTTTAATGATGACTACATTGTTGAGGTTGATCCATCCATGTTCTCTCGTGTCTTTGAGGGTCCGGAATGTGCCTATATGTTATTCTACAGACGTACAAACCTACCCAGTCCAATTATGACGAGCAAATGAATAATGACCACGACTCCAAACAGCTATTCAAATTGATCTGCAACGAGGCTGTTGTGTTAGTACACCCGGGATAGCGGCGAATGAAAAGACTAATTTTGTACATCAGTCCAACATCCTGATCAACATGCTACTCACTTCGAAACATTTCGACGCTGTGTGATAAATTGAGCAACTCATGATTCTCTCACACACTATCCCGGAAATTCACGATTTGTGAAGAAATCCTTTTGATGATTTCACATTTTCTCCCAACCGTTAACGATCGAATTAGAGTGTTAAACGTCACTTGTTTTTGAATAGCAGTCACGAATATACTGCATTTTGGCGGTTACACGTCTCAGCATATGACGACTACATTGAGTTGTATTATTTTAATAATGAAAAGGATTTGTGCAAGTCTCTCATCTCCACTTTACATTAAAAAAGAGTTCTTTACGGGGCTAGCAGTCACTATCATCGTATGGCATTAGGTCAAATGCTGTTGGTTAAGTTAATCTACCAAGTTAGGACAACGATGCACGGTTACAATAGTTTATGAAGTTTTGAAGTTTCATAGCTGGGTACGGATCCTGGTCTTTGGGATCAAAATCAACAAAGATACAAGAAGTTAAATGATTTCTGTGACTGCATATCTAAAACCAGGGTGAGTTGTGAACGATTTCAAATACGTTCTAGTTTCGGTTTAACTTATGTCATTCGAAGGAATTTATTCTGTTGCGTTCTTGTCGTGTGGGAAAAGTATAAAATGTGAGAAGTTGAAAAGCTTCTGAACTGGCCGTAAATTTATCTCCAGAAGTTGAAACACCGTCATTAATTTCATAGATTCAATATTTACAAGTATTGTTTACGAATAATACGATGATGATCTTGATAATGATAACGAATACGACGATGATGATGACGACGATGACGATGCATGGTTAAGGTGTCTTTGTTGGGGTTGATCAACAATTATTTGATAAATACCGACATGGAAACCTCTGAGTATCTTGCGGTTTATTACTTCAGTTGGTTATCACTTGCCTCAACCTTTATTGACTGTACTCCTCACCTCTCTCAGGTTTGAATGAAAAGAATCACAATATTTTCGTCGAGTTAATGAAATTCTTACACAAAACCCTTAGTGTAATATAATTTTATTAACTTTATTGATTTCATGCAACTCAATGCCTGTGATCATTTTAATAAATAACTTTTACTTAATACTGATCAATGTTTGCACAAGGAAACATCCGCGTTGTCTCGGAATCGCATAAAGTATTCCCAGTTCGAAATCTTCCCTGCCCATAAACTCACCTATCCTAACAGTGTTAGTCTGTCTGTAGTACGCCTTTTAGTTGATCACACACTCGACATTACCAGGACTGGCATACACCATCACATTACTTTTAAAATGCCATTTTTGAATTATTTTAACATTTTGTTTTCATGCGTTACTGCAATTTGTGAATTATGCTTAAAATTCTCCCATACATCTGCATTAGACTTTTCTTGACTTGGATTGGAGGATAAACAGGATATTTGAAGAGATTGATAAGTTCTCATCACCTACTATGCATATCCCGGTGTAAATGAGTTTATACCCCTCTTGCTTCTTGCGATTGAAAATGATGCAAGAAACGGGATCACGCCTTAACGGGGGTTTATGTATTTATACAAACGTACAAATTTGCTCATTCCAGAATCTTACAATTAGCTATTTTTTGAGTCGCAGTACACCGCACAGAAGTTTATTGCATAATGCTGACATCAATCCTGGTTGGGTATATATCTTATCGGAATAAAATATCAAAACTTACCGTGATATGAGAACAAACAACATCTAAGAGAAGTGAAACTGATGACTGTTCGCTTGCACACAATTATTCCTTATTTTCGCTTTCTGTATAAACGATTACTTTGAGTCCAGTTCATAAATCTTCTCGATTTTATTTTACCCTAGATTGAGTCTGCGTATTTGAGAGCAGCCCATTTTCATTAAATCTACGTCAGTCATGTATCCGAACTACGTGAGTTAAGGTGTTTTGTGCCATCTGCCACTGCTACCGAAACAAGTTTGGATGGAAACGATTGTTTCCGGAAATCATTTTCTAAATGAAGGCATTTGAATGGTAATCCTTGATAGATGATGAAGCCGGGTCAAAATGTCTCCTACTGGGAAAAATTCCTTGTTTTCTTTCGGTTTCTGATCCTTCAAGGGATTCGTACTCCTTTCTTGCTCGAGTGTAGACCTAATATAAGTGAAAGATATCGCACCTTCATCAAATACTCTAAGTAGGTGAGATGAGCCATAATAATGCAAATTTTGTTTCAGAATTAATTACTAGTTTGATCCACGCAAATATCTACTTTTGATAAGAATCCAGAATAAGTGATGCGAATAGAAGAGAGTTACGGGGAGGACATTACAATTTGTTTTAGAAACACAGTTTGGTTATGTTCATTTGTGGTTAACGTATCGTTTCGCAATACTTTCTTAAAATGTTTCATTGTTGCTGTTTGATCAACCCAGTTGCAACCAATCACATATGAGAGCATCACCGCTCTAAAGGATGAAAAAAAGAAAACAAAGTCTGGTAATTTCTCCACTGAATTTGACGAACTGTTCACTGCATCTGACCACCCATCTGTCCAGTATAGCCAGGTCCTGGTCCTGGACGTGGCATCGTAGCGGGGTTTCCCGTTTGCATCACACTCATCCCGCCTGGCTGATTTGGAGGAACTTCCATAGTTCGCGCGGCAAACGCACCAAACGCTCCACCCATGGTTGGTGGTACCATCCCGTAACGACCATATATCGGATGCCAAGCGATTGGTTGTCGCGACTCAGAATCTGCAGCCGCTGCAGCAGCTGCGGCTTCTTTGGCAGCTTGTTCGGCCAATTCTGAAGCTAAAGCTGCTTCCCGTTCCTTGCGTTTTCGACTTCGAGTTTTACATATCATCAGTTTGTCTGCATTGATCACACAGAATGCGATAATAATTCCAAAGGTAAGCAGTAGAACCACAATGAGAAGACATGCAGACAAAACGGAAGACGGAACACGAAGTTCTTCCAGTAGACCTGTGTGCGGTTTTCGTTTGCGCTGCCGTTTCTTACTGACCGGCAATTTGAAGTGACAGCGTTCTGTGGCGCGTACTGGATCTACGCGATCCGAAGTTGTTGGAAGAGCCTGAAATGTTACGAAAAATGTTACATTACATGCAAGTATTATCATACATAAGGCAACATTTTGTTGTCAAAGATTTCAGCCAGATTTGAACCAGTACACAACCAACTACTTAAAAGAATGTAGCACACAATGGTGCGAATTGAATTGCCCCTACCTACTGTGGTCAAGCGATGACTAGCACCATCTTATAGCCCCGGAGGACCCGTGTAAAAATCCTACCGTCAATTAATTCTTCAAATTGGGGTTTGGATAAATCATCCAAATCAGATCCAAATATCGCTAGTGTGGTGTTTTGCTGGCCGCATTAACTCCCAGTCGAATTTGACGAGACCGGATGAAAATGGGAATTTTATTCTAACATTCAAATGGCGATGATTCGCATAGCCTCAGCGCCACTTCCTCAAAGGTTGAGTAAAATGAATCGCGTTAAAATTTTAGGGGTGCAGCCTAAAATTTGAAAAGAATAAGTTGAAAGAAGCATAAAATGTTTGTTCATGGTGTACAGAACGTTCGTCAAATACAAACAACAAGATGATAATTTTTTAAAACAAAATGAATTTAGAGTAGTGGTATCGGGTAAGTAATAATATTGACTCTACATGAGAGAAATGGGGAATTTGGTTTGTTTTTTGGTGAATTTTATAGTATAAAGAGCAAATAGACTGTGAACTGAAAAGCTAGAAAGCATCTGGGCAGCTTTTGTTGTTGTTGGTGTGTTCTCCGACAACATCCACATCCCGAGCGACAGTCGTTCCGCATTATTTCCAATTGGGTAGTTGTTTCGCCCTGGTTGGGTCTAATCAGTAGTGCGAATTAATCCACCCACCTTAGGATCGAACCCGAGACCTCACAGGCAGAACGCATGTATACCACTCACTCGACAGTCGATTAGAGCTTTTCTCCCTTTCCTTTATATAGAATAGAGCACATCCCAGCTTTGGGAGCTAAATGCAAGCATCGCACCCTGCACCTTCCAGCACTAGCCTCCAGGGTTATGACTGGGTTGGAAACATTCCAACTCCATTGTATGTTGCATGAGAGCGATGGAGCATTTGATTTGTTCATAATATTGATTTTGACTGACCACCATTCACACTCCATCTTCACGCACGATTCTCAGTTCACCAGGCCAATCATCCAATCCGAGCTTGAGCTTTGCTTTCATCATAGTCAATCAGCAGTACTTAGTCACGGGCTAATCAAGGGTTTGAACCTCAAGATCCGTGAATGAAGAAGGAGTGTGGATTCTCTCTGACTCACACCGGGACTGATCCAGTTCATTAAGCTAAGTTTGTTCGTTTTTTAGTTTCCAAAGTTGGTCAATTTGTTTGCATGGGAGGAGCAAGAAACCGAGGTAGACAATATAATTTCCCTTCACCTTAGTCGGAAGTCTCTCATTCAACCAGACAAATTCAACATTAATACGTACTCCATACTACTGCTACTCGCCAATATTTCTGATCTAGAAATGTTCAACTCACTAATTTAGTTTGACGGATTCAACTGGAGATGCGTGTCCGAAGCTAAACAGGAGCGTTCCGATCAGAGTTGACAGAAAGCGTCGATTGCATGCACTACGATCTGCTCCTGATCCAATCCACTCATCCCGTTGTTCACCGGTTTTCCGAAATTCTCAGGTTGCTGTGTTATATAGGTGTTTTATTCCTTCCACAGATGAACCTGATCGACTAATGTACCACAACCATTTCTCTATTGAACCCATTCACCCATGCGAACAAACAAGCCGATCCGATAGCCACTTGGTTAACTGCCTTGACTCACTCTACACAACTCAGTGGCACGAACAGTTACTTGGACACAGACGCGGTTGTGCTGAATTATGGAATTTGTACACGCACACACACACTAACATACATTGGATCACTACTCTCCGATGTCCATGTGAACAGGGCTTTGCCGGATTTACTGTTGCCTTCGCTTTGACTTTGGATTGTTGCTGTATAGACTTAGTTTCATGACTTCCAGGTCTGTTAACTGTATCGGAGTTTCCCTCTATCCGACGTTCGTACTTCGTGATTTGTATTAATTTATTCCTAAATAAATGGTTCAGTACCGCACATAGACAAACCGCTTTGGTAAGGACCATTGGTTATCACCGCTTTTACTCTTTACTCCCTCATGGATTGTTGATGCTTTGGAGTTCACGCCATTATATGTTGTGTGTTTCTCCTTGGATTGCTGTTGCACACATAAATGCCCTGTGTATCATTAGGAACGAAATTTTACCGTGCACTGACTGCAGATTCAAGGTTCCGCATTGAACAGAACAGCCGGTTATTTTCTGACAACTCCAGTAGACCGCGCTATTGGACATCTGTGTTGACTCTGTGGAGAAGACAATTTGAATTGGGCTCATTCGGTCTTGGACTACACCATTTAAAGTTTGATCTGAATAGCTACCACTTTGATTTGGAAAATTACCTGGTGATTCACTAAGAGGGAAACACACTACTGAGTAGAATTTTCAGCTACGGTTCAGTTGCGTAGTCGGCATCCATACGTGGGTTCGAATTCCACCGAGGCTACTGGGCTCTCCACAATTTCAACATCAAACATCAGTCGGCCAAACAACGATGTAAACAGCTCCATTATTCGATGAAACTAGGCCAAATGGTAATCGGTGATCGCAACTCACAAGCCCGTCCACACACCTTTCCGAAACGTTTGAGTGTGCTTATGGTGAGGATAACCGACCGTTTTGTATAAATCTTTCGTTGCCCGTGGAAAACAGGCCAAAATTGTCAGTCATTGCAGGATGAACTTAACGGACAAGGACAAAGCGCATTTGGTTTGGCTCAAAGCGTCAGTGTTGAGTGTTCGGGAAACATGTGAATAATTCAAATATCTCAATCTGCTAAAGAGTAAACCGGTTGCTACCACAATTAAACAATGTAAAGAACGCTTTTTACAAACCGGATCGATTAAGAGCGGAGCAAATGAGCTCAGAAAAAAGTCAGTGACAACGGAAGAGTTGAGGAATACTGTGAAATCACTTGGGTCTTCAAACCCTTAGTTCTCTATTCGCAAACCAGTCCCGCTGCTCTCGCATTGTTATTCAACCATACAACGAATGTTGTCTCGTTTCTGCTTCCACCCATAGCATTTTTTCCATTGGAGTAACGAGGAAGGAATCGGACTGGCCAAAACCTAGGGGATTTGTGAAAGGTTTAAGTGCAACTTGTAAATACACCCATTCATGAATTAAGAAAGGATGAATTTCGATAAATCTTTTATTTTTCCAAATTACATGTATAAATTTACAGCACTGTAAAGGGAACAAGTAGATTTCTCTGCCTGAATACGTAAAACAATGGTTTACGAACTTTAGTGTAGACATGATTTATGCTGAGGTATTATGAAACAATACGTGCCTAGAGGAGGATTTCTATTATAACACATAACATGATACGTAGTACCGAATCGGTTTGATTATTTAGTGTTCATTCACGATGGAGGCAGAAAGCGGCAACATGCCGAGCTAGACTTTGCAGATACAAGCAAATTCACATTATTTCTCAACTCCCCCGTAGTCACCGGCTTCTTCTTTAAACCAATTGTTCCACTCTTGGTCAATCCAGTTTGAAGAAAGCGCTCTGAGAATTTCTTTAGAGTTGAACCGATCTGCCATTCTCTTTATCCAGAGTAAGACGCTTTGCATGTTTCCCGAACACTCAGCACTGACGCTTTGAACCAAGCCAAATGCGCTTTGCCGTAGTCCGTTAAGTTCATCCCGTAATGGCCGACAATTCTGGCCTGTTTTTCACGAGCAGCGAAAGGTTAACACGAAGCGGCCTGCTATCCTCACCATAAACACACTCAAACGATTCGGGAGGGTGTGTATGTGCTTCTGAAGTGTGATCACCGATTGCCATTTGGTTCAGTTTCCTCGTATAAAAGTGCAACTGAAAGGCTGTGTGTGAATCACTCAGTATATATGCTTTCTTTTATTTCTACCACCGAGCAAAGTTTGAAACGCACACGAATGAACAAATACTACCCCTACCGACGACAAATTCTAAAGAGAACAATCACACATTAAATCAGAGAACTTCGAAAATGAAACGATAACAACGATTTCAACAACACTGGTTTGGTCTTATGTCTATGAGGACGGTGGCGTGAGACGAAATATATAGATGTTTACATAATGCTTCCTACTGCACAGTGGAAGTTCACAGGGCGTGCCTGAGATTCATGGCTCTAAAAAAGATGTGATTTCTCGCTCGAGTTAGTTGGGCAAGCGCCAGGTCCCTTGTTGCGACTGGACCATCCAACCGATCGATAAATGAACCCGATCGGTTGTGTGATTTTCGGGCAGGCACAGGAGGAGGATAGGTTCCGAATCCGATCATGCCTAAATGTTGATACAGAATCACAGGAGAATCTGTTGTGGAGCGGTGCGCCATGTGAGAAATTTGGAATAGAAAATGTGCAAACCATTATGACACTGGGCCAACGCTTGACTTGTCTAAGTTACACGCACTATTTTTCGAAGCGGGTTCGATAAACAGATGATCATTATAAAACTTTGAACTTGTCTTAATAACGGACAATATTAGCCCCTAATATAGGCCCAAGCAAAACTCTTCTTGTTTTTTCCCAAATGATTGTTTTCGCGTTGAATGATCTCGCTAACTATCTCGGAGATATAATTCCGAAAGAAAGAAAGAACAAACGTTATGGAAAAAAGTATATTTATTCTATAAACGTTGTTCAATATGTTTTCCATTCTGCTGCTTGCATAGCAAAATCCGGTGCAGATAGTTTTCTTCCACTTTCAGAATGATTGCAGTTGGGCCGTTGAAAACCCAAGGTACTTTGTTCGCTCTAAATCGATTCATAGTCCCAAGGTGTTCATATGAACTGGTGTTGTGCACGGCCAGATTGCCGGGCCGTACTTTTTCAACGGAAACGTAACAGGTAAGAACAATTTTGTCTATTAGGGCGCCTCATACTTGCAAATTTGGTACCTACCATCCGCTGTTGGAACTACCGTTTGGTTCCAATATGATGGTGCACCGTCACACAATGCTCTGGTGGTGAGAAGTTTCCTCGACTCGTAATTTAACTGCAGATGGATTGGCCAAGGAGGACCAAAACGATGGCCTCCAAGTACACCTGATCTGTCCCCTTTGGACTTCTTTCTGTGGGGATATCTAAAGCAAACCGTTTAGTCCCGGAAATCGAGAACCATTGAGGAGCTTAAACAGAGTATTATGGCACAGCGCGAAAGTATTCCAGTCAGGCAGGCCCAGTGAACTTCCACTGTGCAGCAGGAGTGCCATCAGCTCACGGATGGACTGGACGTGACAACAAGAACACTACAAAACGTACAAGCCGGTAATCAGACAGTCTCGTGTTGAGATGAGGGATTCAAAGTGCCGCAGGTCGAGGAATTTGATCCAATCAGATCACAGAAAGGGTCAGAGGGAATTTACTTGTTTAGGGTCACGGGTGGGAGGGACGAGACGATGAGAAACGATGGAACAATCGCACTGTAGAGCAACTGAAGCGTAGCTGACAATTCCACTCAGCAGTGTTTCCGGCTTAGGGAATCACTTTGGATTGAGAACACAACACCGTGGTTGGATCCACATTCGTTCGGTCTACCTCATTGGTCAGTTTATCGCATACTTTTCTAGCCCCTGATTGACCCGCTGTCTTTTCACGCTCCTTCTGTGTTGAAATAAAGCAGACCACTGTGTTACGTCTTGGCTGATAGACATCGACTTTTGTGGGTCGATGAGTCCGGTTCATATGTGTGAGACAGCTAAAGTGATCTTAAATGGATAAATACAGTTGATGATGCATTGTTTACTCCAAGCTAAGGCAAAATTGGTTGTTGTCA